GCTTTCTCACTCCAGCAAACTTCTGTTTCCGGCTAATCGAAGAAACTCATATCATCAGTTTCTCAACTCTGCGACCCATTTCCAATGAATTTTCACTGAAATCCACGCAAACCTGCCCCTTACGCCTCCATCGCAATATTGCCTTTTCCACAATACTAACAGACCAAACAACCTTTTTGTATTGCTTCCGAACTTGATGTCCCCTAACATGAGCCTGGAGGTAATAAAGATAAGCAACTTCAAAATAAGACATCTCCCGTAATATTGGATGTTATATGGGTGTGAGAAAACAGATAATGGAAGAAAAGCGTGCATTTTTACGCTGACCAGGAAAAGCTAGGTTTCACAGTCGCAAAACCACAAGAACAGAAATTAATTGAAATGCTTTAAGCCACTGGAACCAAACCGAAGCCAAGGAAATGCAGAGTAGGCAGAAGTGTCTTGTCTCAAGATCAGAACTTCCAATATAAACTCAACAGAGTGCATTTTCGGGAACACAATTGGTTTGGACGAGCAAAATAAAATACAGAATGACTTCTACTGTATGGGAGGAAGCTAAATTGGAATGAAGAAGTTTGTGGTAACTAAGCATTATAATTAGTCCAAGAAATACCTGGATTTTAACAATACGGCTCCGTATCTTTAAGAATTCTTTTCTTCCCTTCCAACCACGATACTTCTGCTGGATCTTTACGGCCGCAGAATGCAAGTAGTCCTCAAAATGACTCAATTTTTGGACCTTGTTCAAAGAACCAAGGGCAACCAGGTCAACTGAAACTTCAGACACATCAATATTGCTCTTCATCGATTGTCTATGACGGAATGAATGAGCTCGGAAAGCAGCCTGAATAAGAGCAGCTGCATGAGCTGATTTCCGAACAGCAGCAAGAGATCCTTTCAGGGAAAGCTGCTTGTCTAAAGTGCCATCAGATGGAATTACTTGTTGACTTGCAGTCTCACAATCTTTTCTGCTGCGAAATCGCAGCAGCATGTCACTGCATTTGTTTAAAGTCAGTAAAGA